CCCCAAAACCCCAAAACCCCAAAACCCCAAAACCCCAAAACCCCGAGGTATAATGATGCAGTTGAGAGTACGAATAATTATAAACAATCAAAAATAATTATTCCTCCTCCTGTTTGTCACTTTTATCAAACAAGGTAAAAAGATGGTCAACCTTCTCCGAAATCTGAGAGACATACTTGGTAGTACTGTTCTCAAGCTCCTTGGTCCTCTTCTCTGTTTTCTCCTTAAAAGTAGCCACAATGGACTTCTCAAGTGTCTCTACAACTTTCTTCTGCTCACTGACCTGTCTGTCCATGATCTTCTTCAAGAACTTGAGCTTACCTTCCCAAGTGATTCCGCTTTCGTCTGCCTTCTCTTCCTGGATTACGATGATGTACTTGGCACTGCTGAAGAGCCTGGCTCTGTTGAGCAAGAACTCGTTTTCGATCATCGTGCTTGCGAACTCCTTAAGCGTGTTGTTCTCAAGTGTATCCTGAACTTTATCGAATGCATCTCCCATAATAGCAATGAGCAAGTTCAAAATGATGATTAGTGTGATCATTGTATTCAAGAACCAGATGAAGAACAGGTAGTACTTGTCATCATCTTCGTAAGCATCCGTATCGAAGTCTCCCATAGCTTGCCTATACGAGTAGATAAAGGCTCTCCAAAAGGTCTGGCCTGTGAACATCTCCTCAGTCCCATAGTTCCTTGCCATGATCATGAAGCAGTTTCCAAACCCAGCGATTGCAATGAGGAAGATTATCAAGAAATTTGCCATTCCATAGGTGATTTCAACTATCATTCTGATCAGCGCTGCTGTTCTTTCAAAGATTCTTCCGAAGTAGAACAGCTTCAGCCACATGACCAGGACTGCCCACCCCATGAGCACGTTTAGATCTTGATTGTCAAGCTCGAAAATATCTCCGTAGCACACAACACTGTTCAGAAGAATCGAGACCAGGTCAACCATGTTCCAGAAAGACTTAAAGTACGCGAATTTATGGAAGATCATTTGCCTAATTTCATAGTACGAGAAGTACAGAATGAACAGGATGAGGAACACCAGACTCAATGAATTGGCAATACCGAATCCTTCCCAGGCTCCGTCTTCATTGTCAATCTTCTTCTTGTGGAAATAAGTGGAGTATAGCACAAACAGGGATAGGTACGCTAAGTAAGGCATGAACAGATAAATCATGATATATGTCCAGTAGTACCCCCAACAGAATCTGATGATATTCCTGACAATATTCAGAGAGAAAAGGTCGATCGTCTTGGTCTCTGAAAGAACCCTTAAAAATGCCACTCCTTCGACTTTGTTAAAGATCCAGTCAAATTCAATAGCTTTGATCTCGATCCTCTTCCTTCTTTTTCTTTCTTTCTCTTTGGCCTTTTCTGCCTTGGTCTTAGGCTTCGGGACTGGGACATCCAGGATTAGGTCTTCGTGGCTATCTATATAATCACTCAGAAACTACGAAATAGACCTATCCAGTTGCTAACTTTAACTCCGGATACCAAACTCAACTTCAAAAATTATCTCTTAAAGACTGCTTACTTCTTTCGCTTAAAGAATTGGAGATCAATGCTTGTTCACTGCTTTCTTCTCCGTCATGCTGCTGTCCTTCCTTCTTTTCTTCTTTCTCTTCCTCTTTCTTGTCCTCTGCCTCCTTTTTCTTGCGTTCTTCTTCCTTTTTCTTGCGTTCTTCTTCTTTCTTCTTCCTGGGATCGCAGATTTTATCCATGAAGACCTCATCCATGATACTGCTTGAATGTGGAATCATGATAACAGGGTCATGCTTTCTCTTCAGCTTTTTGTAATGCACACGCTTCAAGTCAAGATAGTTGATATTCTTCATCTGGATAGTCTGGAAATAGCAAGAGTCCAAGTAATCATGAAACGCAGTGATGTCCATTGCTAACAAATCATTGAACCTCTGGTAGAACAGCCTTGACAATGAAGAATCTTCGAACAGCTGAAGTTTCCTCAACAAAAGTTCGGTATTCTTTGGACTCTCGCTGTCGATAGTAATGTCAAGAGGAGATTTTCCTCGCTTGTTCTTCATCAAAATAGCGTTTAGATACTCAGGCCGATGCTTTTCCATACAGTCAACTACTGATTTCAAAATATCGTACTCAAGAGCGTAGTAATGAAGGGCTGTATTTCCATTAACAATGAATCGAATTTTCTCAAAGTTAACATTTTCACTATCGATTTTGTCTTCGCCCTGGATGTAGCTCTCAAGAGAGACTACTTCTACAAGGGTTTCCTTCGTAATAAGGTGGCCTCCGCACAGAATTATTTCTTCATTCTTGTTCATGCGATAGCCACCAGTTTGGCCATAGAAAAAGTTGCTGTTGAATTGATGCTCGAAGTAACAATTAATCAAGCCATCGTCAAGGTTTATATAAGTGTTGTCAACCAAGAGGTACCCTGCCCTGCTCTTTGGCCCAGTAATGTAGGAGCAGTAATTCTTAGGTGAGAAGTTCTGCAACTCTTTGTTATGCACAATGTCCCAAACAAGCACTAAGTGCTGGTTTCCTCCCTGAGATATCAGATGTATGACTATTAGATCAGGGTCTGTACAGTCATAAATATATGAAATAGTCATTTGGTTCTTGTTTATCTCGATCTTAATCTCTTCCATAGGGTAAATCTTGTCCTGCTTTGAGTCGTACCTTATAAACCAAGCTTTTTCATCAGTGTATATGATAATACCTCCGTTCTTAGGCTTGGTGGTGACCCCATAAGATTTTAAATCTTTGTCCTTAGTGTCATCATATGGATCTTTCCCAAATTTACCCTTGAATAGATCTTTATCAGTCTTCTGATCATTAATCTGAATAATTCCATCTTGTTTTCCAATGTAAAATATTGTACAATCGTCAGTCAGAGAGAGTATGAATTTTGGGTCGTATTCATACATATTAATGCTTTCAGGTTTGATACCGTATAGATCACTTAGATTGACTTTATAGATATCTCTGAGGAAGAAATTAGAATTATCAGAGTCAAAGCTCAGTTCAACTATTCTGCCCCAGACAACCTCATCCTTGTCTTTATCTTTCTCTGCATACATAATGTACCTCCCAGAAGGAGATACATAAAGCTGGGCATAGCTGTGGTCTTGTCAACCTTCGATTTTAAGTTTCAATTGTTGGTATAATTCTCCATTTCTCTTTACAATGCAGATCGCTATGTGGCCAGAGAAGTTGTAGGAGTACTTGTGATAGACCACAAAATTATTATTATGGTAAAAGAAGTATTCACACTTATAAGTATCATTGTTGCCTACATTACATATAGGCACACTTGGTATGTTATACTTAGGGATCAATAAAGCTCCATAAACTCGAGACTCTAGCTCATCGTCGTATATTTCACTCTCCTCTAAGGAGGACTCTCCTGGCTTAGGCTCGTCTTGTCTACTTTGAGTCTTGTTCTCGAAAAATTCTTCTTCTAGAGGCCCATAAAACAGCAGCCAATTTTGATGCTCCAAAGGATATTCTTCAGAAATCTCGTACTTATCAATGCCTTTAATATCAGGGGTGATTTTAAAATGTGATTGAGTATGCTCTCCTTTTTCCACTCATAAGTAAGCATTTGCGTCACTCTCATAGACCATTCCATCAGTCAGCAAGAAGTTGTTGGTGCCACTGAAATTCTTGGACACAAAATATTCATTTTGTAGTACAAGTTCTGTCTTCTTCTCTTCAACCTTGAGATTGCACCTTTTGACGTAGCCGATCTCATCGACAATGTCAAAGTTAAAGGACCCAGTCGATTTATTGTAACACGGTCTCATCCGCTTTATGAAGTCGTCTGAGGAGTAGATTGACACACCTGAGTTCCTAGATTAGAGATTTTAGCAAAAGATTCCAAGAATACTGTGTTTCAGAGCTTTTTGCAACCATCCACTCTAAGTTTTAGTCTAAATTTTAAGCGAGAACTAGGTCAGATAGAAGACCTAATTATTAAGCAAACATCACTGAGAGAGCTAATGTCTTGTTCTCTTTAAATTTTAAGATTTCAGACAACCGAATAGATATGAAAACTCCAATAATTCTACGGTATAATGCAGACGCAATCTTTCAGGAGAAGTACAAAGCCTGAGTCCAAGGAATCTTGCTAAGAATAATTGGATGTACCCTCAATGTGTACAGAATTTAAAAACTTGATTTGAAAACCATGAAGAAACCACCTGAAAAAGAACAATTAAAGTAGTATCTTAACCCAAAATCTGTGAAAACTCAACTAAGATTTTCATTTTATGCAGAAGCTGGACAAGTTCTCTAACCCAGATTAAGACATCCTCTAGAATGATACTTACTTATCTTCAAAATTGAGCGGAGGTGTGAAGAACTCGATGGACTTGGAATCCTTCTTATAAGTAAGGAAGCCTTGATAGATGATAGCATGTAATTCCCCAGGCTCGTACCTAGCCTCAACGACTCGAAAGACCCCGTATGAGGCTGATGAACTGAACAGTAAGAATCTTTTGAAGTGAAGACAGAATGAATCCTCTTCTTTCTCTCCATATTTATACTTGAAAACATTGAAGCCAGCTAACAACTGTGAGTCTGGGAAATTGGCTTTCTCGATATATGCCTTCGATATAGTACTTGAAGTAGACATATAATGAGTTGAAAGGCTATAATCAGCAAAGGCAAGGTAATCCCCCAGATCAATGAAGCCGGTAATTTTAACATCATACTCAGATGTAAGCTCTGAAGATCTAAATATCAGAGGTGCTCCTAATTTCCTGTAGTGATAAACTCCAGTTGTTACTGAGTAGCTCAGTATTTCAGTCCCTCCTTTCATTAAGACCACTGTTGGGTAATAGAAGTGGATAAAAGTAGTTTCTTTGACTGTATACCTTCGAGGGTTCATTCCAGCTTTATCTCTGACATACAAGACTTCAAATGATTGCTCATTAAAGTCACTAATAATCATCACAGAATTGTCACCTCTGATACAGTAGTCTGAAACAGATGAAATGTTTGGACAGTAATCCATGTTATCAATAGTCTTTGTAAAACTCACTTTGCCTGATACATGCACTCAGAACTCATTTCTCTTATTGTACTCCATCCCGACCAAGCTCTCTTTGTCTGCTTTAGCAATAAAGCTGGCCTTGTGCTCGGTGAATGTCTCTTTCGGAGGATTTTCGCTGATTGTATGACTCTCATCAATCCCAAAGCTGAAGATCCTTCAAACAAGTTTGCCCTTCTTATTTTCCACCAGTCTTGAGTGGTAATGTTTCTGGCAGGATTGATCGATGGAATAATTTGAGTGATTTCTCTCCTCTCAGTTTATTTGAGAAATAAGTTTTGCTTTCTGATCTCGAATGTTGACTTCATAGGTGAAAACTGATGCCCCCACATATCCTCCCATATAAAGGACTTCATTGTTCTTCGGGCTAACTTTTATGTCAACAATTTGGCAATCTTTAAATCTATCTGAAGAAGATCCAAGAGTATTCCTACAAATAAGGAACCTTTTATCTTCCTGAGTATCAATGATTTCGTACTGTAAGATACTCACAGCTCCATCTATTGTCTGGCCGTGCATTATATACCTCCCTTTACCCCATACAAAGACGGTTGGGGTTTCCTTAAGGGTTGGGTATTCGCTCATATCATCTTCATACTCTTCCTCATCTTCAGCTTGAACATCAGGCCTCTCTCTCGAGTCTAATGAGTAATAGACCATGTGTTCATCGACAACTTCAAGAGTGTAAGCATCAAGTATCACAATGAGTTGCTTTTCCATGTTCTTAGCTTTCTTTTCTACCAGAACAATGTGCTCACCATCCATTGAGAATTGGATCTCAAACCCTTGGAACCCATGCTTTCCCTTTCTATTAATTTTACTACTTTTCGGGGTGAAATATCTGTCTTTAGTCTTGACTCAGGTAAACTGATCGCAGCGCCACAGGCTGATCTGGTACTTTTCTCTCAGAATTGGAGGTTCATAACTGACTTCGTTATACTTGAGCTCATTGTTATAGCTCACATAATCATAGTAACCATTCTGACGGGTTTCATAAACGATCTTCTCATTATCAGGAATGGAATATCCTGATCTTGCAAACCTAAACGAGTGAGACTAAACGCTACCTTTCATTCCCGATTTTTCCGGCTTCGTAGCCGTTCATAGCTGGATTCGGGCCGCAAGCAGTCGGGGTATACCCATGGTACAAAAACTTTGAACTATTCGGATGCTCATTGAACCCTTTGTCAAAAGCTGCATTGACAACTTCCTGCTGAAGATCTTTAGGAAGTTTCTCAAACCTCTCTCTTAGATCTTCACTTGGATCTTTGGGCTCCTCTTTATGCTCTTCTTCATCTTTCTTGTCTTCCTCCGTTTCCTTCTTGGCTTCCTCGGATTGACTATTTTCTTCATTTTTCTCTTCTTCCTTGGGTTGTTCCTGAAGCTGATCTTCTTCAGGTTGATTCTTGCTCTTATCAGTAGATTCTTCTTGAAGCGGCTCTTTGGCTTCGACTTTCTGTGTGTCTTCAGGCTGAGCCTTCACCTCTTCTTTGGTTCCTTTAGATTCTTCTACGTCAGAGACATTTTCTGACTCATGCTTATTCATGGGAGGTCCAAGCCCATCGTCTGAAAGTAACTGAGCTATAAAGAAGGATAAGTATCTTTATGAACCAAGATATTTGAAAGATTTCAAAAATTGAATTTTGGACATTAAGCTTAAGAAAAGTCCCAATTCTTGAACTTCTAAAGTCGAAGAATCAATTTATATGATATAAGTAAGAAAAAGTGACTATTTTTGAAGTATTCAAGAAAGTCTTCACTACAAAATAGGCAAAACTGAAGCTAAAATTCCCCTCTCTCAAAATAAAACAAAATAAATTTCCCCAAAATGCCCATTCAAATTCAAAACTCTAACCTTAACCCAGACTCACCTTTACCACCACTGATAACCTCAGCTTCCATATCTTCTTCTTCTGAAGACTCTTCACTTTTAATCCCTTCTTCCTTTCTCTTCTGCCTGGCCATCATTCTGGCCACCTCCTGCAGGGACATCTTCGATGTGTCTAAACCTAAATGTCAGAGCCAAGGCCAAGCCAGCCGGAGAAATACCGAAGCAAAAGGAAGAATATACTGAAATATCAAGATATGGCCTGTTCTAACAAGACTCTAAGCTTGATGCCAGATCGAGCGGTGGCTGCCAAGAGTCTCCTTTTAGAAGGAACCAATGCAAACAGGCCTTCTTAGGGACCACAGCTACTTTCTAGCACCCTCAGAACTTCCCCAAGAGTAGACATTCAGCAAAAATTTGTTCCTAAAATTAGCCATTAAGCCATTCAGGAAAGCTCTAAATAACACTTGAGAATGAAGATATTCTGGTAAGCTTAGTATATGCTCAGAAATCCTAATAAAAAGTGACCAGACTTTGTGCCAACCCACTGAGATTTAGATGTCAGGTCTAGTCTTTACCAACTCTAGGGATCAGTAAATATATTGGCAAGAATCAGCTTCTGAGATAATCACGTATTTTTAAATAAAAAGAGGAGTCCTGAGCTCTAGCTAAGTTCATCTCTGGCTGATAAAGAATCTAGTACAGGGAATAAGGCTCTCAAAGAGGAGTAGTCAAGGACAAAGCCGGTCTAGCCCTACAAGGTTGGGTCTTCAGCTATGAAACAAGTCTTTACCTATCTCTTTTTCTTCTTCGTCGCTCTATAAGAAATAAATTTAAATTTGATCTTAGAAAATAAAGATTCCATAAAAAGCTGATGTCTCAGTGGTACATTTAAGATATTTTCACTGGCTAGCCAACAGCATATTATTTTTACTTATTATAAAACATCTGAATGCTTTCTCTCAGCCTCTAAGCTATGCAGATCATCTAGCTACCGTCAAAGGACTGGCTGCCTAGGCCCCTAGACAAGTGAACTTACCCCTCCTTCATAGGTATCTTCCTCAGCTCCTCTAGCATTATGATGTTGGTCTTTAGTCTCCTCTGAAAGATTACCGAGAGTCTTGTACTTGCTATGGGAACTCTGCATGCCTTCTCTCAGTGAGTTTGCTCCTATTTTTCTTACTTGAAAATCTAGGAATTGTTCTAAGATCAAATATTGAAGTAATAACAAGATCGAAGAGATCTACTAAGCCAAGGAAGTCAGCAAGGACTGTAGATGGAGAAAGAGACAACCAGAATACATATAGCTTTGATAATAGTAGAATTAGAGCTAATTTTCAAGCAATCTATGAATGTTTAAAAGAAGACTTCTGTTTGATCAAAAGTCATAAATAAATGTTTATCTTAGTATTTCCCATATATGATACAACAAAAATATACTAAAGTAGTTCTCCTAAGACTCATACTTCTACCTTACCCACATTATGAGTAAAGCCTCACTTCTAAAGACTCAAAGCACCTCCAAAATGCTCTATCTTTGCTCCTAACCTTCATTTCTCATTCTTATAACATTTACCTGAACTATCTTTAACCTTTCTCTCCTTCACCTCCCTCTCTGCCGCTTCAATCTGCTCTCTTAACAGCTCATTAGTATTCTCAGGCGTTAAGAAAGACTCGCAATAGGAATACTTCATGTCTAACTTGCCCTCCTTTTCGCTCTTGGGCATCTTCATTTCGGAGATAACAACGATATGGTCTCTCTCAGAAGCATGCAGCTTGGCATCCTGGTACACACAGCTTGGGAACTGGAGGTACCGGCTCTGGTTCGTCAGGAACCTGTTCACGTAATCCACCTTGTCACTGAATATATTCTTCGACATTTCCTCTTAAGAATTTTATTAAATAAATATCTCAACCTTGGTGATTAATTATGGGGTTTTGGGGTTTTGGGGTTTTGGGGTTTTGGGG